AGCGGTCGCTCAGACATCCTCTGAATGACGCAACGGCGGCGGGACGTACAGCTGGTTGAGCGCCGTCCCGCCGCGTATCCGTGTTCGAGGCCCAATCGGACTGGAGCACCTGCTCCCGCTCGGCGTCGAGGTAGGCAACCCAACTGTCCATCAGCTGGCGGCGCTACTGCTCGTCGTTCCGCAGCATTCGCCGCTCCCGCTCGATGCGGTGGCGGAGCATCTCCTGAAACGCGGCGTCACGCTTGCGTTCCTCGATATGCTCAGCGATTGCCGAGCGGATCAGGTGCGAGACCGGCTGACCGTCGACCGCCGCGATCGTGTCCAACTCCTCTGACTGGTCGGCCGACAGGCGAATCGTCATGGCTTTGACTGGTCTCATGCTGCCGATTGTGCAGTTGACCAAGCGCGGTTGTCAACTACCTAGCAACCGTGGTATCTTGGTGTCACCGAGGACGGAGGATCCCGATGGCAGCAGAGAATCCAGCACCCGACAAGGACAATCCGGGGCAGAAGATGTTCATCATCCGAATCGACGACGCAGAGTACGAGTGGCCGGAGGAGAAGATCACCGGAGCTCAGCTCCGTCGGCTTCCGACGACCCCGATTCCGTCCGATCGTGACCTCTTCCAGGTCGTTCCCGGTCGCCCTGACCGCAAGATCAAGGACGACGACACCGTCGAGGTTCACGACGGCCCGAACCTCTTCACGACACGCAAGGACCACCCTGAGCACCAGGTGTTCACCATCCGAATCGACCGCGCGGAGTACGAGTGGCCGGAGGAGAAGATCACCGGAGCTCAGCTCCGTCAGCTCCCGCGGACGCCGATTCCGCCCGATCGTGACCTTTTCCAGGTCGTTCCCGGTCACAATGACCGAGAGATCAAGAACGACGACACCGTCGAGGTTCACGACGGGTTGCGCTTCTTCACGGCACCGAACACGATCAACCCTGGTACCGAGCGCGCGAATCGCCGCACGGTGTGGCACGGCCATGACTCTTCCTAAATCGGACATCGCGTATCTGATTGAACGAGGTGTTGCTCACGACATCGCAACCGAGTCCGGCATGCTCTGCGTCGTGATGCCAGGGTGGCCGCTCCCACGAGGGCTGGATCGCGATACAGCGGATCTCCTGGTTCGGCTCAGCCCCGGCTATCCGGATGTTCCCCCCGACATGTGGTGGTTCTCTCCGGCAGTGCACTTGGCCAACGGAGCAGATCTGCCCGCCACGAACGTCGTCGAAAGGTATCTCGGGCGCCAATGGCAGCGCTGGTCGAGGCACTTCAACAACGGACAGTGGCAGTCTGGAGTGGACGGACTTGCGAGTTTCCTCGCTCTGATTCGGCAGGACCTGCAACGCAGTACGCCGGAGACGGCCGGATGACAGTCACGTTGGTGCTTCCCGACCGGACCGCAGCCGAGCTGTTTGACGCGGCCGCAACTGACGTCGAGACCGCCTGCGTTCTACTCGCGCGGCAAATCGATACGCCTGGGGGCAATGTTCGCTTGCTCGGCCGTGGGCTGCATTGGGTGCCGGATGACGCCTACCGTCGGCGAGACGCGACGGGGCTCAGCATCGCCTCCCACGGCTACGTGCCCGCGCTCGCCGCTGCCGAGGTCGACGGGGCCGTCCCAATCTGGCTACACACGCATCCCGGCAATAACTCATCCCCTAGGCCCAGCAAGTACGACGAACTCGTCGACCAACAGCTTGCCGACCTCTTCCGCCTCCGGGCGCGAAGCCCTCTGTACGGAGCCATCGTCCTTGCTCGGCCGGAAGGGCGGCCCTGCTTCACCGGCCACATCCAGTCGGATGAGAAGCGAACCGAAATCGACCGCCTATGGGTAACCGGTCGACGGTTCGTGCTCATTCCGAATTGGCTTCACGACACAACGCCACTTTCCGACCAATTCGACCGGAACATCCGGGCCTTCGGCGGTCACATTCAACGGGTACTAGGCGACCTACGCGTCGCGGTGGTCGGCTGCGGTGGTACAGGATCCGCAGTCATCGAGCAGCTCGTCCGTCTCGGCGTACGCCATCTGCAGCTGTTCGATCCGGACACGCTGACGATAGGCAACGTCACGCGGGTGTACGGCTCCTGCCTCGACGACGTTGGCAAACCGAAGGTATGCGTGAGTGCCGCCCACGTGGGCCGGATCGCGCCGGACGCCGAAGTCATGACCGTGCCAGCGAAGATAACGCTAGAGTCCGCGGCTAGACTGCTTCTGGACGCCGACATCGTCTTCGGCTGCACCGATGACAACGCCGGTCGGCTGGTACTGTCCCGCATCGCTTCGTACCTGTTGACCCCCGTCATTGACTGCGGTGTGCTGCTGAGCAGCGGCCACGGGGGACAGCTCATCGGAATCGACGGCCGCGTGACGGTACTCGCCCCTGGTGCTGCATGTCTAGTCTGCCGAAACCGCATTGATCTACGACGGGCGGCCGCGGAATTGCTCGCTCCAGATGAACGCCGTCGACTGGCCGACGAGGGCTACGCGCCGGCGCTGCCGGATCCCGAACCAGCTGTCGTCGCGTTCACCACGCAGGTGGCCTCGGCGGCGGTGGGCGAACTACTCGAGCGGCTCATTCACTACGGCCCGGAGCCTGTACCCACGGAAGTGCTGCTAAGGACCCACGAACGTGAGGTGTCCACGAACGACCAGGAGCCTCGTGAGGGTCATTATTGCCATCCCGGAGCGCGGAAGCTAGGGTTGGGCGTCACCCAGCCCTTCCTTGAGCAGACGTGGCAAGGATGAAGCGGCTTGTCGCTTGGTGGCGCTCGCTGCCATTCCCTTGGCGTCGTTGGCGGATCGTAGAGCGGGTCAGTGCAGCCGACGAGGTGCCTGAACGGTTGCCGCCTCGGGGCGTAGTCCTCGTTGGTGAGGCGGAACGGCCTGCGTGGGCGATCTTCGACTGCCCTTGCGGCACTGGGCATCGACTGATGGTGAATCTGGACAGAACCAGACATCCGTTCTGGACGATCGAGCGTCTAGAACCACTGTCGATCCGGCCTAGTATTGACAATATCACGCCGGAACGACGCTGCCATTTTATTGTACGTAGCGGCGAGATTCGCTGGGCGATCTGGGTGAACGAGGAGTGACCACATGAGAGAGCAGTCGACACAAGCCAACGCGGGTGGTCTTACGCCGGATAATGGGGAGCTTGATGGCGGTACGCCGCCGGCGACCAAGACGCCATTCTTCAAGGCGAATCACTCAAAGCGCTACCAGCGGCAAACCCTTATCAAGGGAATCCAGGAGCGCACCAAGCGGATCCTGATCTGTTATGTATCGGGCAGCGAATGCGCGATAGACCGAGACGATACTGTACCGTTCGTTGATCTCCTTCACAATGTGCCGCAGGGCCGTCCCGTGGATCTGCTGCTCCACACCGGCGGAGGCGATACCGACGTCGCAGAGAAATTGATGGAAATGTTGCGCGGCCACGTTGGTGCTGCGGAGCTTCGCGTTATCGTCCCGGACTTCGCGAAGAGTGCGGGCACGCTCATGATACTTGGTGCTGACAGGGTGGTGATGAGCGATATGTCCGAGCTGGGACCCATAGATCCACAGATAGTCCTCTCGGGCGGATTGCAGCCCATTCAGAATTTCCTTGACGCCTATCGTGAGCACGCTGAGACGCTCAAGAACGACCCGGGGAACATTGCGGCTCGAATCATGCTGGACAAACTCGACCCCACGATTCTGAAGTTGTGTGAGGCGGCTGTGGACCGGGCGCGCCAAGCCGCGGAGAAGCTGTTGAGACGGGGAATGTTCCGCAATGGTGGCAATTACACGAGGACCGCGAGGGAATTGCTCGATACGTCGCGATGGTTGTCGCACAGCCAGATGATTTCGTGGGAGGACGCTCGGGATCCCCAAATCGGATTGATGGTGGAGCATCTCGAGTATCATTCCGAGGAGTGGCAGGACTACTGGCTGCTGTACTGTCTTCAGCGCCTTGCTGTCCGCGATCGGCAGAAGCTCTACGAATCCGACTACGCCTCGCTGGTTATTGACGGGGTTGGCGCGAAATGAACGGGGGCCGGTAGCGGGGCTGCGGGCTGGCAGGTGAGGGGCGCGGTTCTCGCGAGGCTTGGAGTGAGGTCGCGAGGGCGGGGTTTTAGTGTCCCGGCCGTGAAGTTCGCGAAAACTCTGGATCGCTGTAAATGCCAGTAAACACTGGAGAACTGCCGCGTAGAATTGTTCCGCGAACCACGGTTCAGGACACTAGGAGAAGCGCCAGCGCAGCAGGCGGCGCTCGAGGCGGGCGGCGAGGGCGAACAGCAGCAGCACGAACGTCATGATGATGACGATCAGGGCGATGGTCAGGGCCGCGTTGTAGGTGCTCTGGGCGAATTGGAGCAGGTAGCCGAGACCGCGGCTGGAGGCGACGAACTCGCCGACGACGGCGCCGGTGAAGGCGAACCCCACCGCGACCTTGAAGTTGCCGAGCACCCAGGCGGTGACCGACGGCACGTACACCTCGCGGATGAGGACGCGGCGCCCGCCGCCGAGGGTACGGACCCGCTCGACGAGGCGCCGGTCGACCTCCTTGATGCCGTTGAAGACCGAGAAGAAGATCAACACGGCGACGAGGATGGTGGCCAGGGCCAGCTTCGACGCGAGCCCGATGCCGAGCCAGATGACGAACAGCGGGGCGAGGATGACCCGGGGAATGGCGTTGAGCAGGATCATGACCGGCTCGAGCAGCTCGGCCAGCACCGGGAGCAGCGCCGCCGCGAACCCCAGCGCGATGCCCGATCGCCAGAGGCCGAGGAGCAGACCGGCCAGCGCCGCGGTGGCGGTGGCCCCGAGATGCGGCCAGAGCTCGCCGCCGGCGGCGAGGGTGAACATCACCTGTCCGACCGCCGTCGGGGGCGGCATGTAGAACGGGTCGAGCCACCCCGCGCGCGAGAGCGACTCCCACACCGCGAGCAGCACGAGCAGCGCGGCGCCCCGCCTGATGCCCGCACCGGCGTTCCCGCGCGTCATCGGGCCGCCCCGTCGGCCGTGGCGGGGGAGGAAGCGGCCTCCTCCGTCAGGTCGTCCCACAGGGTGCGCAGCAGGGGTCCGAAGGCGGGGTGCCGCCGCGCCTCGAGGACGTCGCGCGGCCTCGGAATGTCGACGGCGTGCCGCGCCCGCATCGTCGCCCGCGGGCCGTGGCCGAGGACGGCGACGGTGTCCGAGGCGCTGATCGCCTCTTCGAGGTCGTGGGTGACGAGCAGGACCGTGAGGTGCTCGCGTTCCACCCAGTCCAGCAGCTCCTGGGTGATGCGGGTGCGGACGATGGCGTCGAGGGCGGCGAACGGCTCGTCCATGCAGCAGCAGCTTCGGGCGCAGGGCCAGCACCTGGGCGATGGCCACCCGCTGCGCTGGCCGCCGGAGAGCTGGCCGGGAAAGCGGTCGCCGTAGCCGGCGAGCCCCAGCTTCGACAGCCAGTGGTCGGCGCGGGCGTCGGCCTCGGCCGGCGGCAGGTCCCTGATGCGCAGCCCGAGGGCCACGTTCTGCCGCGCCGTGCGCCACGGCAGGAGCGCGTCGTCCTGGAAACAGGAAGCCGACGTCCTGCAACGCGAGACGCCGAGCTCGACCGTGCCCCGCAACGGCTCGAGGAGGCCGGTCGCGACCCGCAGGATGCTGGTCTTGCCGGAGCCGGACGGACCGATGAGGCTGGCGAACTGGCCGGCCCGGACGTCGAGGTCGATGCCCTCGATGATCGGTGGTCCGCCGAAGCCGACCGACAGCCGCGACGCGCAGCAGGATTCGGGGCGCGTGCGTGCGCGGGTGCGGCGGGCGTCCCGGGCTCGGCCGTCGAGGGCATTGGCGTCGACTCGGAGGCGGCGGGGTGCGCGGGTGCGGCGGGCGGCCGGCCTCGGCTCAGCCGTCGAGGGCATCCGCGTCGACCAGGGTGGCGAGATCGATTTGTCCCGGCTCGAGGAGCCCGGCGATCTCCTGGGCGGTGACGACCCGGCGGGCCGCCTCGAAGTCGGTGGCGACCTGCTCCGGATACAGCGACAGCCGGTAGCGTTCGATGATCGCCTCGAGCTGGCCGAGATCGCCGCCGGCGACGAGGGCGGCGGGCAGCGCCGCCACGATGTCGGCCGGGGGAAGGGTCCGGGTGTCGGCGAGGCCGCGTTCGAGGGCCGTCCCCAGGCGGCGTATCTCGTCGAGGCGCTGGCCGCGTTCCCCCGCCCGAACCGAGACTCCCATGAACTCGTACGCGCCGCCGAGGTGCCGGCGGGCCTCCTCCAGCTCCATGAAGTTCACGAGCTCGCGTCCCCCGGCCTCCGCGATCAGGGTCAGGGCCGGCTCCTGCACCATGGCCGCGTCGACCTGCCCGATGCGCAGCGCGTCGAAGAGGTTGGTGCCGACCGTCGCGAACTGCACCCGCCCTGCGTCCGCGCCGGCCTGATCGAGCAGGAACAGCAGCAGGGCGTGGTCGGCGTTGCCGAGGCCGGAGATGCCGACGGTGCGGTCCTCGAGGTCCGAGACGGTGTCGATCTCCGCGATGCGGTCGGGGGCGACCGCGAGCGCGAACAGGGGCAGCCGGCCAGTCGAGGCCACCCGTCGGATCGAGGCTCCGTTGGCCGCCGCCTGCAGGGCGACGTCGAACGAGGTGCCCGCGTAGTCGACGGCGCCCCCCACCAGAGCCTGCATCGCGGCGCTGCCCCCGCGCGTATAGACCAGCTCGACGTCGAACCCCTGGTCGGCGAAGTGTCCCCGGACCCGGGTCACCTCGTAGGGCACGACGCACAGCAGTTGGCCGCAGAACGCCAAGCGGAGCCGTGTGGCTCCGTCCCGCGGGGCGCGGGCCGCACCCGCCGCTGACCGCGACCACCACCCCCGCTCCGAGCAGCGTCTTCAGGGCGGTGCGCCGGTCCCACGCCGCCCCCGGATCGGGCTGCCCGCCGCCGGCCCGCTCCAGACCGGCGGCGGGGCCCGACACCACGCCCAGCAGGTCGGGATTGGTGGCCTCGCAGCAGCCCATGGGCAACCCCCGGCCGGTTACCGGTTCGCCACGTACTCGGTCGCGAACGCCTTCAGGGCCTCGCTGCGCAGGCCGATCGTCTCCGCCTCGGCCATCGCGCGGTCGGTGTCCCAGCCGTCCCCCACCACGCGCTTGATGAACCACATCGCGCCCACGCGGTTGGCCGATCCGCAGTGGATGTAGGCGGGCTGGTTGGCCTCGTCGGCGATGGCGGCGAGAAACGTCTCGGTCGTCTCGTCGGTCGGGGTCCGGAACGGAATGTGGATGTATGTCAGCCCGGCTTCCTCCGCCGCGGCCCGGCTGCCCTCGATGTTCGCGCCGTTCTCCCCGGCGGTGCGGAAGTTGATGACCGAGGCGAAGCCGAGGTCCTTCAACGCCGGCATCGCGGAGGCCGGGGTCGCCCCCGGCGCAGGCGATGGTGGCGTCCACGCGCGTGTAGTTGACGACGCCCTCGGGCGCCTCGTCCTGGGCGTAGACGGCGGGGGCCGCGAGCCCGAGCGTCAGGCCGACGGCGAGCAGGGCCGCCGGAACGATCCGCGATAGCTGCTGTAGACGTGCCATGGTCTCACTCCTTGCTGTTCTCTGTTCCACTGTTTCTCTGTTCCACTTCGTGCGTCTTCACGCCTGCTTCCCGCGGCGCCGACGCAGCCCGCCGATCGTCGCCTTCGGGCTCCGCTGGCGCCCAACCAACCTCTCTGAACCTGCGGCGTTCTGCGGCCCCCGGAAGCCTGGGCGCTCGCGCCGCAGGAGTTTCGCGTCAGCGAAACTCCCAACGCGACCGCAAGGTCGCGCGGTCGCGCTAGTTCGCCAGCGGGTGGGGCCGAATCTGGAACTTCACCAGATTGCCCGGCTCCACCGGTCCCCCCTCGACGTGCCACGCGGCGTCGGCGCCGTAGGTGGCATAGACGCCGCGTCCCTTCCAGCCGCCGTCGGGTCGTCGATGCGGCCGTCGAGGCCGCGGCTGTGGAAGCCCTGGGGATAGGGCACCCGCATGACGACCCACTCCCCGGTGTCCGGCATCAGCGCGAGCAGCGAGTCCGAGCTCGATCCGTTGGCGATCGGCACGTTCTCTCCGAGCCCGAGCGTGTCGAACTGGTCGACCCAGTTGTAATAGTGGAAGTCGGTGCCGATGTCGGTGCCCGCGAAGTCGGGGCCCGGCACCTTGTAGAAGCTCCACCCCTCGTCGCACTGGCGGCCGTCGCGCACCGCGGGTCCGTTGAAGACGGCGCACTTCGACCGGTCGAAGCTGGCGAAGTGGCTGCTGCCGGCGAGGGCCGCCCAGAGCACGCCGTTCCGGTCCACGTCGAGGCCGCGGGTGCGGTAGCCGTGCTCGGCCGGCACCACGTAGAGCTCGGCGCTGCAGGTCTCGGGCGGGTTGTCGCCGCGGTCGAGCCGGACCAGATCGCCGGGATACCGGTCCGAGACGATCCACACCGCGTCGTCGACGGGGTTGGTGATGACCCCGTAGGCGCCGGCGACGATGCGCGTGTCCAGCGCGGCGTCGTACTCCGCCTCGGCACCGCCCCGGGGGGGCGGCTCGTTCCACGGCTTGGTGATGACGCCGTCGCCGTTGGTGTCGAGCACGGTCGGGCACCAGCCCTGGGACGCCTGCTCGTCGCCGGTCTCGTCGTACAGCCTGGTGTCGAGCCAGCCGATGACCTGCCCGCCGCCGCTGAAGTACAGCGTGTCGCTGTCGTCCTCGGCGAACTGCAGGTGGTGGGTGCCGAAGCAGGTGTGAATCAGCTCGAACTCTTCCGTCTCGGGGTCGTAGTACCCGGTGTGCCGCCCCGCCCGGTCGACCGGAAAGTAGGTGGCATAGGCATTGTCCGAGCCCTCACGGCACCAGGCGGGGTTGTCGATGGACTGCACCCGGGTGGTCAACCAGACCCGGCCCGTGGCGTCCAGCATCGGGTTGTGGGGATTGGCGGGGTCGTTCCACACCGCCTCCTCGCCGAAGTCGCGCCACGCCTTGAAGCCCTCGGTCTGGAACATCGACGGCACCGTGGACCGGTCCACCCGCAGCGGGATCTTCAGCATGCGCGACTCGTGCCGGTTGGGATCGGTGATGAGGAGAAAGTCGTTGCCGATGTCCACCCCGTAGATCGGACCGTTCGCGTTCACCCGCGGGTTGCGCTTGTCGGTGGCGATCTCGTCGTGCACGAACGCGACGTTGTCGCCCCAGTTCCACTGGGTCAGCACGACGTTGCGCTCGATGCCGGACGGTCGCGGCGGGGCCGGAGGCACCGCGCCGGCGGCGATGCGGTCGCTCCAGTCGGCCACCATCTCGAGGCCGCGGGGCCGGCCGAACTGGGTGATGAAGCTGGACATCAGCGACCCGCGCTGGCCGCGCCGCGTCCGGTCGTCCCAGGCCGCGATGCTGGAGTCGAAGTCGGCGAGGTCGGGCACCACCCGCGTGCGCTCGTTGCCGACCTGGTGGCAGCGCTGGCAGCCCTTCAGACGTTGATCCACTCGCTCTGGCTCCCGAGCCGCTCGTTGATGCCGTTGCCGGCCTCGCCGGTGCCGGGGAACTCGTGGGCGTCGGGCAGGTCGATGAGGGCGAGCCAGTAGTTGGAGGGGTAGACCTGCGCCGCTTCCTGCGGCGTGGCCGCGACCGTCGCCGGCAGGTCGAGCTCGGCCCCCGGCGCCGCTCGACCGGCGTCGAGTCGACGAGGCCGTAGCCCCGCACCCACACGTCGTAGGTGGCGGCCGGCAGCTCCGGCAGCAGGAACCGGCCGTCGTCGCCGGTGACGACGATCTTGCGGAAGACCGTCTCGAGGTCGTCGGTCTCGGCGATCACCCACACGCCCGCCTCGGCCCCGTCCCCGCTCGTGACGGTACCGGTGATGACCCCGTCGTTGGCCTGCGCCGAGAGCGCATCCTGGTGCACGAGGCCCGCGCCGGCGGCGACCAGGACGCCGGCGATGGCGAGTCCGCTGATCCTTCGCATCATTGTCCGTTTCTCCCAGCTTCTGTCAGAACGCCTGCGCCTTCTCCGGAGCCGCTCGCGACGTCAGTTCGATCCGGCGCCGAGCTCGCGGAGCAGCGTCACCGTGTCGGGCCACGCCTTCTCGGTGTTGGCGACGAAGACGCCCTCGGCGACCATCAGGGGGGTCCATCCGAGGGTGTTCGGCGCGTCGATGTCCGCGCCCTGCTCCAGCAGGTACTGCACGATCAGGTTCGAGCCGATCATGGCCGCGCCGTGCAGGGCGGTGCTGCCGCCCCAGCGCATGTCGCCCCGGTCCCGTTGCGCGTCCAGCTCCGCGAGATTGAGGGGATGCCGCAACAGCAGCGCGCGGCCCTCGCCGGCCAGCGGAGTGTCCCCGAAGTCGGTCGCGGCATGGAGGTCGTTGCCCAGCTCGATCGCGAGCTTGATCGCTTCCAGTCGGATCTGCTCCGGCGTTCCGTTCAGGGGGCCGGGGCTCTCGCCGTCCCAGAAGCCGACCCCCGCCGCCGCCATCAGCGGCGTGACGCGCTGGTGCGTCGGAGTCAGCGGGTCGGCCCCGTGCCGGACGAGCAGCCGCATCAGGTCGACGTCGGCGTGCTTGGCCGCGAGATAGAACGGGGTCGCGCCCACGAAGCTCAGGAAGTTGCGCCCCACGGAGATGCCCGGCGGGGGCCTGACGATGCCGAGGTCGACCTCGAAGGGAATCTCTCGCCAGTCGATGTGCACGTCGGGGTCGGCTCCCGCCTCGAGGAGGGCGCGGGCCAGATCGAGGCTGTCGAGGGCGCCGGTCGGCAGCGGCGGCCGTCCCGACCCCGGGCGTCGTATCCAGGCCAGCGCGTGAAGCACCGAGCCGCGGGGGTCGGGAAGGTTGGGGTCCGCGCCGAGCTCGAGCAGCCGCCCCGCCAGCTCGTAGTGCGCGTTGACGACGGCGAGAGCCAGCGGCGTGCTGCCGTCCCGAGCGGCGCCGTGGATGTTCGCCCGGCCGCCAGCAGGGCCTCGACCACGCCGATGTGTCCCCCCCGCACCGCGAACAGCAGCGGCGTGAGCCGCCCGTCCGACCGGGCTCGATGTCCGCCGCCGGCCGCGATGAGCGCGGAGGACGGCGTCCGCGTGGCCTCGGCGCCGCCCCACATCAGGCGTCCTGCTCCACGACTCGGTCGCATGCACGTCGGCGCCGGCTTCGAGGAGCAGCCGCAGGACGTCCGGCCGACCTGTGCGGGCGGCCAGCATGAGCGGCGTGTCGCCGCCGGGGCTCGCGGCTTCGGGGTCCGCGCCGGCGTCGAGCAGCGCCGCCGCGAGCGGTGCGCTGCCGTTGGCGGCGGCCAGGGCGAGCGGCGTCACCCCGTAGCGGTTCGCAGCCTCGACGCGGGCGCCGGCCGCGATGAGCCGGCGGGCGAGGGGACGGTCGTCCCGCTGCACCGCCCAGTGCAGGGCCGTCGTGCCGTCCGACCCGGCGGCGTCGACGTCGGCGCCCGCCTCCAGGAGGTCGGCGACCGTTTCGACGGCGCCCTGTCGCGCGGCGTCGGCGAGCGTCCCGTCGACAGGCTGGCCGCTCGCCGGCGACGCCCAAGTGATCGCCAACAAGCCCGCGGCCAGGACGCCAGCCAGCGTCCACGGTCCGCTACGGTCGCGCATGCTCATGAGATCCACCCTCGCCGGACGCCGAGATCCAGCGCGCCGTCACCCGCCGTGTGTGACCCGGTCGCGAAGCGATCCTCGTCCGGATCCGTCCAGTGTACATGCACACTATACCGAATCCCGAGACCCGGCAGGGGGACGGCCGGTTGCGGCGGCAGCCTCCAATACTGGACGCTGCCGGCTCGCTTCGAGTACGTCTCTTGCATTCTCTCGCGAGCAGGTCAGGGAGCGATGACCACTAGTGGAGCGATGACCGTGCCTTCCACCACGCGCTGCGGCTACGCGCCGCACGACGGCCCCGCGCTCTGGGGAAACCCTCGATCCGGCGTTTCGCGCCTGCGCGCTGGGCCGGGAGCAGTCGCCCATCGACCTGACCGGCGGCTGCAACGGCGGCAGCAGGTTGTCCCTGTTGACAATCGTAAACACGGGCAGGCGCTGCCGTCAAGCGGTTGTGCACGGCGGCGTTGACAACCCCGGACATTGCGCGTATTAAAGAAGGTTCAATGAGCAACAGATGGATCGGTGTGCTCGCCGTCGCCGCGCTGACCTGCAGCGGGTGGCTCGCACGGCCTGTCGCGGCCGGCCAGCCGGGGCACCTGCCCGGTGGCTCCGGGGCCGTGCCCGGGCACGAGTCCGCGGCCACCGCGGGTGAAGTCGTAGCGGTGCTCGACCAGTACTGCGTGACCTGCCACAACGCGCGGGTCGTCGACGGCGCGGGGGCGGCCCCCTCCCCGCTGGTGGCTCAGCTCCGCAGCGCCGGGTTGGCCCTCGACCGGCTGGACGCGTCGCACGTGGCCGGCGACGCGGCGGCCTGGGAAGCGGTGGTCCGCAAGCTGCGGGGCGGGGCGATGCCGCCGATCGGCCGGCCCCGGCCGGACGAGGCGACGATCGCCGGCGTCGCGTCGTGGCTCGAGACGTCGCTCGACCGCGCCGCCGCGGCCGCGCCCGACCCGGGCCGCCGTCCGGCGCTGCACCGGTTGAGCCGCACCGAGTACGCCAACGCGGTGCGCGACCTGCTCGGGCTCGACGACCTGCCGAAGGAGCTCGACATCGCGGTGATGCTGCCGGCCGACAACGCCACCAGCGGGTTCGACAACCTGGCCGAGCTGCTGTTCGTGTCGCCCACCCTGATGGAGCGGTACCTGGCGGCGGCGCGCAAGATCAGCCGGCTCGCCATCGGCGACCCGACGATGCTGCCCATCGTCGACACCTACCAGCTCGATCGGGATCTGGTTCAGGACGGGCACATCGAGGGGCTGCCCCTCGGGACCCGCGGCGGCACGCGGGTGCGGAGCCATCTGCCGCTGGACGGGGAGTACCTCGTCACCGTGCAGTTCACCCGCGCCGCCCGCGAGCCCCACGACGTCGAGGTGAGCGTGGACGGCCGGCGGGTCGAGCTGTTCACGGTCGGCGAGAACCCGCCGGAGCGGCTCGCGAGCGGGGTGTTCGCGTTCGACGCGGACCCCGACGTGCAGGTGCGGGTGCCCCTGCGGGCCGGCCCCCGCGAGGTGGCGGTCGCGTTCCTGCCGAAGAGCGGGGCGGTTCCGAGGGGCTGGTCCGGTCCTATCGCTCGCGGAGCCGGCAGCCGTCCATCGCCAGCGTCATCGTCAGCGGGCCGTACGGCGCGGACGGCGCCGGCGACACCCCCAGCCGCCAGCGCATCCTGACCTGCCGGCCCCGGACCGGCGCCCCGGCCCCGGAGCAGGCGGCGTGTGCGCGGTCGATTCTGACCTCGCTGGCCCGCCGGGCCTACCGGCGCCCGGTCGGCGCCGGCGACATCGACCGGCTGCTGCCGTTCTACGAGCAGGGGCGCGGCGAGGGCGGGTTCGAGCGCGGCATCCAGCGGGCCGTCGAGCGGCTGCTCGTCAGCCCCGAGTTCCTGTTCCGGGTCGAGCGCGACCCGGCCGACGCCGCGGGCGGCGATGTGTATCCGGTCAGCGATCTGGAGCTGGCGTCGCGCCTGTCGTTCTTCCTGTGGAGCAGCATTCCCGACGACGAGCTGCTCGACACCGCGATTCGGGGCGAGCTGCGCGAGCCCGGCGTGCTCGACCGCCACGTGCGCCGCATGCTCGCGGACCCGCGGTCGGCCGCCCTCGTGAACAACTTCGCCGAGCAGTGGCTGTTCCTCCGCGACGTCGATGCGAAGGAGCCGGACGCGGGTTCTTCCCCGCTTCGACGAGAACCTGCGGCAGGCGTTCCGGCGCGAGACCGAGCTGTTCGTGGACAGCGTGCTGCGCGGCGACGGCAGCGTCCTCGACCTGCTGACCGCGTCGCACACGTTCGTGAACGAGCGGCTGGCCCGGCACTACGGGATTCCCCACGTCTACGGCAGCCACTTCCGGCGGGTGGAGCTCGACGCTCCGGAGAGACACGGGCTGCTCGGGCAGGGGAGCATCCTCACCCTGACCTCGTACGCCACCCGCACCTCGCCGGTGCTGCGCGGCAAGTGGATCCTCGAGAACCTGCTGTCGTCGCCCCCCCCGCCGCCTCCGCCGGACGTGCCGTCGCTCGACGAGACGACCGAGAGCGGCGAGCCGCGGTCGATGCGCGAGGCGATGGAGCAGCACCGCGCGAACCCCGCGTGCGCAAGCTGTCATTCCCAGATGGACCCGCTCGGGTTCGCCCTCGAGAACTTCGACGCCATCGGGCGCTGGCGCACCGTGAGCGAGTCCGACACCCCGATAGACGCGAGCGGCGTGCTTCCCCGACGGCCGGCGGTTCGAGGGACCGGCCGGCCTGCGGACGCGCTGCTGCAGCGCGCCCGATCAGTTCGTGCACACCGTGACCGAGAAGCTCCTGACGTATGCGCTGGGGCGCGGGGTCGAGCACTTCGATGCCCCGACCATTCGCGCCATCGTCCGGGATGCCGAGCGGGACGGCTATCGGTTCGCGTCGATCGTGCTCGGCATCGTCAACAGCACGCCGTTCCAGATGAGAGAATCATGATCATTTCGAAGCTCGCGCTGCCCCGTCGAACCTTCCTCCGCGGCATGGGCGCCACCGTGGCGTTGCCGCTGCTCGACGCCATGGTGCCGGCGGCGACCGCGCTGGCGAGGACCGCCGCGCGTCCCGCTACCCGGCTGGGCTTCGTGTACATCCCCAACGGGGTGATCCAGGAGCAGTTCGTGCCGGCCGCGACCGGCGCCGGGTTCGGGCTGTCGCCCACCCTCAGCCCCCTCGCGCCGGTGCAGGACCGGCTGCTCGTGCTGAGCGGTCTCGCCCACCGGCAGGCCGACTCGTTCGGTGACGGCAACGGCGACCACCCGCGGGCGACCGCCGTCTGGCTGAGCGGGGTGCACGCCTGGGAGCGCCGCGGGCGCATCGGCCCCACGTCGATCCAGCTCGGCACCACCGCCGACCAGTCGCGGCCCGCTATCTCGGCACCGAGACGCCGCTGCCGTCGCTCGAGCTGGTGCTCGAGAAGCCGACCGCCATCTCGTGCGACTCGGGCGACTGCTTCTACTCGAACACCATCTCCTGGCGCGACCCCACGACCCGCTCGAGATGGAGCCCCACCCCCGCGTGGTGTTCGAGCGGCTGTTCGGCGACGGCGGCACCGCGGCCGACCGCCGCGCCCAGGTGCGGCAGACCGGCAGCATTCTCGACTCGGTGACCCAGGAGGCGCTGAGCCTCGAGCGCACCCTGGGGGCCGGCCGACCGCAACAAGCTGAGCGAGTATCTCGACTCGGTGCGCGACCTCGAGCAGCGCATCGGCCGCGCCGAGGCGCGGGACGATCGGGCCGAGATCGACTGCCCGACCGCCCCATCGACATCCCCGAGGACTTCGAGGAGTACGCCACGCTGATGTTCGACCTGCTGGCCCTCGCCTGGCAGGCCGACGTCACCCGCGTCGGGACGCTGATGATGGCTCGCGAGACGAGTCCCCGGACCTTCCCGCAGATCGGGGTGCCCGGACCAGCACCACACCGTGTCGCACCACCGGAACGACCCGGACTACATGGCCCGGAAGGCGAAGATCGACCTCTATCACGTCTCGCTGCTGAGCCGTTCCTCCAGAAGCTGCGGACACCCCGGACGGCGACGGCACCCTGCTCGACCACACGACCTACATGCTCGGCAGCGGACTCGGCAACCCGAACGTCCACGACCACCGCAACCTGCCCATCGTCGTGGCGAGCGGGGCGGGGTCGCGCATCGCCGGCGGGCGCCACGTCAAGTACGACGAGCTGACGCCGATGGCGAACTTCCACCTGACCCTGCTCGACGACGTGGGGGTGCACCTGGACGACTTCGCCGACAGCACCGGCCGGACCGGCGAGATCGTCGAGCCGTTGTCGCTGTAGCGCACACGGGAGGTTACGCGGGCTGCCGGCTTCTCAGGCCGGCAGCCCGCGAGTCGTTTTCGGGCTCGTTCACGGGAGGCATTCCATGCGTTGTTCCATTTTCCGGCCTGTGACTTGTTCGATTGCCACCTGGTTGCTCGTTGCCACTGTTGCAGGTGCCGGCGTCGTCCGCGCCGCCGCGGCAGAGGTGGTCGATGCCGGATTGCTCGACGCCATCCGGGCGGTCGACGCGGGCGGCGTGCGGGCGGCGCTCGACCGCGGCGCCGATGCGACCGCGGCGGAGCCCGACGGCACCACGCCGCTCCACTGGGCGGTGCACGCCGACGACGCGGGCATCGTCGAGCTGCTGCTGGCGGCGGGCGCGGACGCCGCCTCGACGAACCGGTACGGGGTGGCGCCCATCGCCCTCGCCTGCGTGAACGGCAACGCCGCCGTCGTCCGGCTGCTCCTGGACGCCGGGGTCGATCCGAACACGACGCTGGCCGAGGGAGAGACGGCGTTGATGACGGCGGCGCGAACCGGGGCGCAGGACGTGGTGGAGCTGCTGCTGGACTACGGCGCCGATGTGAACGCGGCCGAGGCGTGGCGCGGGCAGACGGCGCTGATGTGGGCGGCCGCCGAGGGGCATGCTCACCTCGTTCCGACCATGCTGTCGCACGGCGCCGACGTCAGCGCCCGGTCAGCCCAGGGTTGGACCCCGCTGCTGTTCGCGGTGCGCGAAGGCGAGATCGGCGTCGTGCAGACGTTGCTCGAGGCCGGGGTCGGCGCCGGAGAGTCTCTGCCGGTGGCGCAGGGGCGTCGCCGCGGCGGCACCAGCGCCGAGCGCGAGGCGACCGGTCTCGACGCCTTCCTGCTCGCCGCCGCCAACGCCCACTACGAGCTCGGCGCCCTGCTCGTCGACCGGGGCGCCGACGTCAACGTGGCCTCGCGGGGCTGGACGGCGCTGCACCAGGTGTCGTGGGTGCGCAAGGCGGGCATCGCCGGCAGCAACAACCCGTCGCCGAAGGGCTCCGGCGCCATGACGAGCCTGGAGTTCGTGAAGAAGATCGCCGCCGCCGGCGCCGACCTGAACGCCCGGGTCACGATTCGGCCCCCGGCCGGCATCACCCGACTGAACTTCATCGGCGGTACGCCGTTTCTCCTCGCCGCCCGCACCGGTGACGCGCCCCTGATGCGCCTGCTCGCCGAGCTCGGCGCCGACCCGCTGCTGCCCAACGAGGACGGCACGACGCCGATCATGGTGGCGGCGGGTGTCGGCACGTCGTCGCCGGGTGAGGATCCCGGCACACCGCCCGAGGTGTTGGAGGCGGTGCAGGTGGCTCTGGAGCTGGGCGGCGACCTGAACGAAGTCGACGCCAAGGGCGAGACCGTCATGCACGGGGCCGCCTACAAGCACGTGCCGGCGGTCGTGGCGTTCCTGGCGGAGGCGGGCGTCGATCCCGCGGTCTGGAACCAGCCGAACTCCCGCGAGTGGACGCCGCTCGACATCGTCGAGAACGTGCCCCTCGGCCGGGGCATCCAGGACAACCCGGCCACCGCGGCGGCCATTCGCGCGGTGATGGAACGCGCCGGGGTGGCGCCGGCGGCCTCCGCGCCGTGAGGACGCTGACGGAAATCACCTTGCCGTGCGCCACGCGCGCCAACCTGCAGACAACGGGTTGCGCCTGGGTATGGTTGGCAACCTCAAATCGATCGCTGTCCTGAGCGGTCCGTTGCGCCGATACGCGCGCAGCTTGCCGTGCAGGTCGATCGCGCGGAGCTTCCGATCGATGCCGCCCGCCGCTTCGACGCGTGCGGCTCTGCAGGGCCTCGGCTTGCCGTGGGGCCGCACGTCAGACGCCGATCGGGTCGGCGATCACCTGCTCCGCCGCGATCTCCAGCGAGCGCAGCCGTGCGTCGTGATCGTAGATGTGGCTGACGATCATGACTTCGTCCGCGCCGGTGCGTTCCACGAACTCCGCCACTCCGGTTCGGATTGCGCCGGGCGCTCCGACCACCGAGCACGACTGCACCTGCTCCAGAATCTGACGCTCGACCGGGGACAGCCGCGTCTCGAAGTGCTCCACCGGGGGCGGCAGCCGGCCCGGCATGCCGCGGCGCAGGCTGAGAATGGACTGCTGCGCGGACGTGCGCAGCAGGCGCGCCTCCTCGGCGGTGTCGGCCGCGAAGACGTTGAGGCCGGCCATGACGTACGGCTTCCGGCAGTGCGCCGACGGCGCGAATCGCGACCGGTAGGTCGCGATGGCCTCCATCAGCAGGGCGGGCGCGAAGTGCGAGGCGAAGGCGTAGGGCAGTCCCAGCGCCGCCGCGAGGTGCGCGCCGAACAGGCTCGATCCCAGGATCCAGAGGGGACGTCGAGCCCCGCCCCGGGCACCGCGCGCACGCGCTGGCCGGGCTCCGGGCCTCGAAGTAGTGCTGCAGCTCGACGACGTCGCGGGAAACGCGTCGACGTCGCCCTCGAGATTCCGGCGCAGGGCGCGGCTGGTGGTCTGGTCGGTGCCCGGCGCGCGCCCCAGGCCGAGGTCGATGCGCCCGGGAAAGAGCGTGGCCAGGGTGCCGAACTGCTCCGCGATCACCAGCGGCGCGTGGTTCGGCAGCATGATTCCGCCGGCGCCCACGCGGATCGTCGACGTGGCGGCGGCCACGTGCCCGATGACCACCGCGGTCGCGGCGCTCGCGATGCCCGGCATGTTGTGGTGCTCGGCCAGCCAGAAGCGCCGGTACCCCCAGCGCTCGGCGTGCCGCGCCAGGTCCGCCGTGTTGCGCAGCGCCAGCGCGGCGTCGCCGCCTTCGGGAATGGGGGAGAGGTCGAGCAGCGAGCACGCGGTCATGTCCACGCCCGAGGAGGAACGTTCGAGTCGATCAGGATCACGTCCGATGGCCCGATTCGATCTCGCGCAGCATCCGATCGATGTCCCCGGTGGGAAAGTCGTGGCGCGCGGCGGCGCGGATCTCGGCTGGCAGTCTGCGCCGTGGAACGTGCAGAGCAGGGGTTGGTGGGCGCGAAAGGGCCGCAGCGGCGTCTCCGGGCTGGCGTCCGGTTGATGCTGCCCGACGGTTCGGCCCGTGCGGCGCGGCGCTGCTTCTGGCGGACCCACTCCGAGAGGGTTCGCCCGTCACGGGTCGCCGAACGGCGATACCGGTGGACCTCTTCTTCCATTACAGCCTGCAGGCGGTTTCATGCCGGTGCCGGTAGTATAGCGGGCCCCTTTTCATGAGTCGTTCAATCTGCGTTTCCTTCGGTGCCGCGCTGTGCGGAATCCACCGGGGAGCGGGAGCACGGTCTACGGCCTGCGCGCCATCGGCCCGGGGGCGAGTTGCGGGTCCGAACAAGCCGCATTCTGGACACGGACTGCCTGTACTGAGAGAATCGCCGATCATGTGCAACGTATCGGCTGTGCCCGGGTGCCGGTGGGGCCGGATCGGCGTGGCGGCGGTGGCGACCGCCGGCCTGCTCGGGTCGGCGCGGCCGCGGATGCGCAGGTCACCCGGGCCGGCGGCCTGATTCGGCACGATCGCGGACAGAGCGTATCGCCGGTCTACGAGGGGTGGTACCGGCGGCCCGACGGGACCATCGCCGCGTCGTTCGGCTACTTCAATCGCAACCACGCGGAAGAGGTGTCCATTCCGGTGGGGCCGAACAACCGGGTGGCGCCCGGTCCCGAAGACCAGGGCCAGCCGACGTACTTCTTCCCGCGGCGCCGGGTCGGCGTGTTCACGATCACCCTGCCCGCGGATACGACCACCGAGGTCACCTGGACCCTGATCTCGCGGGGAGCGACCCTGGAGATCCCGGTCAGCCTCGACGCCGAGTACCTGATCGAACCGTTCAGGGCGGCGGCCGGACCCAGTCCCGGGAACGCTCCGCCGGTGGTGCGGTTAGACCCCGCGGACGAGGGGTTCTCGGGACCCGCGGGAGGTGCCGCCGAGCGCACGGTCGCCGCCGGGGCTCCGCTGGCCCTCGACGTCTGGGTCAGCGACGACGGGTTGGGCTCGGGCCGGGACGAGCCGGAGCTGACGGTGACGTGGAGCAAGTTCCGGGGACCGGGCGCGGTCAGCTTCGAGGACGGCAGCCCGGACGTCGAGGCGGAGGACGGATCGGCGGGGCAGATCGGACGGGCGAGCACGGCCGCGACGCTGTCCGAGCCGGGCGACTACGTGCTCCACGTGGTCGCCTCCGACGGATCGCGGCAGAGCAACCAGTGCTGCTGGACGAACGGCTACGTGCACGTCCGGGTCGATGCCGCGGACGCTCGCGACTGAGTCGAGACTCGGCAGAGCTGCGCGGTTGACCGGACACCGTGGAGGAGAAGGCGATGAGGCATGGACAGCTTGCGGAGACGTGGCGGCACGCGGCGCGCGGTCTGCTGCTCGGGGCGGCGGCACTGATCCCGGCCGGCGGCGCGGCGCAGACGGCCGGCGCGGACGTGACGTTCGCGAGAGACGTTGCGCCGATCCTGCAGCAGAAGTGCCAGACCTGCCACCGGGTCGGCAGCATGGCGCCGATGTCCCTGGTGACCTGGCAGGAGACGCGGCCGTGGGCGCGCTCCATCAAGGCCCGCGTGCAGTCGCGCGAGATGCCGCCCTGGCATCTCGACAAGACCGTCGGCATCCAGCACTTCATCAACGACCGGTCGCTGAACGACGCGCAGATCGACACCATCGTGCGCTGGGTCGACGCCGGGGCGCCGCTCGGCGACCCCGCCGACATGCCGCCGCCGGTGGTGTGGCCGGCCGCCGACCGCTACGAGCTCGAGGACCGGCTGGGACCGCCGGACATCGTGGTCGAGTCGCAGCCGTGGACGATGCCGGCCGACGGACAGGACGCGTGGTACCGGCCGCGGGCCGAGCTGAACCTGACGGGGCCCGTGTGGGTGCGGGCGTCCGAGACCAAGCCGTCGCTCGAAGGCCGCCGCATCGTGCACCATGCGTCCACCTACCTGCTGCAGCCCAAGGGAGCGGAGCTCATCGAGGCCGAGCGGGCGCTGCGGGACGGACAGGTCGGGGTGGATGCGGTAATCGCCGCCGCCCGGAAGCGGGCCACCGACCCCGAAGAGGTCCGCGAGCTGTTCACGGAGTGGGCGCAGGGCAAGCAGGGCGAGATCTATCCGGAGAACGTCGGCAAGCTGGTGCGTGAGGGGGCGAATGTGGAGTTCGACATCCACTACCACGCGGTCGGCGAGGAAGTGACCGACGTGCTCTCGGTCGGCTGGTGGCTCTACCCCCAGGACGCCCCGCCGAAGTACAGCGCGGAGTTCGTGGCCATGGGGGCGAGCGCGGCGCAGACCCTGGAGATTCCGCCGAACTCGGTGGTCCAGCATCAGGGGACCTACGTGCTGCCGGCGCCGACCCTCCTCCACAACTTCCAGCCCCACATGCACTACCGGGGCAAGGCCTTCCTGCTGGAGGCGCTCTATCCCGACGGCCGCCGCGAGGTGATCAACTACTCCGATCGGTTCGACAACACCTGGCACCTGAACTACATCTACGACCCCGACCATGCGCCGGTGCTGCCGAAGGGCACGGTCATGCAGATCACCACGTGGCACGACAATACGCGCGCGAACCGGAACAATCCGGACCCGCGCCAGTGGGTGAGCTACGGACCGCGCACCGTCGACGAGATGGCCCACGCGAACCAGCAGGTCATCTTCATCACCGACGAGGACTACGAGCGGATCACCGAAGAGCGGAAGGCCCGGGCCGAGCTGACCGACGACAACTAGCCCGGAAATCGTCGCCTGCGGCTCCGATTGCCGCCCAACCAACCCTGCCAGGAGTCTGCACCGTTCTACGGCGCGGACTCCTGGCCGAAGTCGTCGCCGGCGGTTCCGATTGCCTGTCCCGGCAACCGGACTCATCTGTTCCGGAGTCGGCGCTCCCGGCGGGTACGCATGGGTCGGCTCATCGTCTTTGTCCTATCTTGTAGTCTCTGCCAGGAACCACAGGCTCTGGATCTCCTCTTGTGCCCGGCGCCGGGTTGCCCGCGCGCGGTGCCGCCTTTCCCTCGTCGGGAGCGGTACATTTTTCGCCCCCTCAGCACGTGAGGTCGCACAGCCCAATGCAGCCCTGCACCGTGCCTGAGGTTCGTCAGGCGGCGGTAGCTGTCGCTCGTCGTCTGCGCACTCGCGGTCACCGGCATCGAGGCGGGCCGCGGCGCCGTGTCGCTTCTTCGCTGCGTGTGCGCGCAGTGTCGGCCAGCGCGCGCACGCCTGAGCGGGTGCCGCCGTGGCCCCTGCGAGGGCCGGATGTTGGTGCTGTACTCGCGCCGAGCCGAGAACCCACGCATCCGTGGTCGTGATTTGGCGCGTCGCGCACACCTGAGAGCTCTCTCTTCACTGCATCCGTGTGCTAGAGCTGTTCTCGCGTCTCCGACGGGCGCAACGCGACTCTAGCTCACTTCTGATGAGCGCGACACACGCGGTGCGCCCTGATCGGGCGCGCCGTGCATCCGCATCTTCATGTGCAGACGTCGGCCTCTGAATTTCCGCGAGCACGCCGATTCCCTGGCGTCGGCCCCGGTGCACGTTCTGTCTAGTTCCCAATCTTGGCGTTGTACCCCTCGGCTCGCCGCGCTGATCGACATCCTGGCCCTCCACCACACGACGACGACCGCTGCGCCTCGCTTCGCCTATCTCACCTACTTCTGAGAAGTAGTGTTGAGTATTCCCGTATGGTGAGCAGCTGACGGCTCGCCTGGGCGCGAGACCATCCGCCCCGGCCGCCCGCGGGCCGGCTCGACAGCGCTGGGCTCGCTTGTACTTGGAGGCGTTGTTCGCGACACTCTTCTTTTGTCGCTCCGATTGGGGTCGGGCCGCGGCGTCGCCGCCTCGCGGGTTGACACGTTCGCCCCGGCGTCGACGGCAAGGATTGTGTGTACGATGACGGTCGGCGTCGACGCCATTATTCCGTATCCAGACGACCGACAGCGCGCCCAGGACCTACGGATGCCACCCACCTGGGTTTCGAGCAGGTCTCGGTCATACTCACGCGTCACGACGACGGCAGCGTGCCCGCCGACAACCCGTTCGTCGGCCGGCCCGGCGCACTGCCCGAGACTTCGCATCTTCTTTCATATCTCGCTCTCGGCATCTATCGCAACGACAGCTCGCTCTTGTCGTCGCGCTGGGTTTCCCAGTCCCGAGACCGGCCTCCTCTGGGCGACCGAGAACGCGCCGCAGCGTACGCCACGGGGCCACACGTCATCCTGGGTTCGACGCAACTACGGCTGGCCCGTCGCCTCCGACAGCCGGGAGTACACCGGGGTGCGGGTGTCCGCACCCGACCGCCGTGTGCCCGTCGTATACGTGGTCGACTCGGCCGAGGCTTTCCTGTGCGCTGTGGTGGCCGTCGATATAATGAACAGGAAAATCTAATATCTCTCTGCGTCGCCGCGTCTTCTGGGGCTGACGTTCGTGTACGACGGCGGCCCGTGTTCCCGCCCTCCGGCGGGCACCTCTTCGGCGGCTCGATATGACGGTCGTTGGCGGTGCGGATGCAGCCGGACGGGTCTCACCTCGTGAACGCAACTCGTGTTCAACAGCGCGGGGCACGCGAGACTGCGCGCGCGTGGCTGCTCGCCGAGCTGAAGCAGCGCATTCGCGACGTCCGGCAGGGGCCCGACGGGTTCCTCTACGTGCTGACCGAGGAGGACGACGCGGCCCTGCTCCGCATCGAGCCGGCCCGGGCGATCACCGGGCTGCCCGGCAGCGTGCTGCCGCACCGGCGCCTGCGCGCACCGCGCATCGCACCGCTGGCGGAGGCCGAGTGGACCGACGCGCAGCGCCAGGTCGTCGAGCGCCACGCCGGCGGCGCCGAGCCGGGGAACGCCCTGCGCACTCTCGTCCGGGTCCCCGCCCTCGCCGACCGCATCTTCGCGTTCCGGGACTACGTCTCGACCGGCTCGACCCTGTCGCCGCGCCACCGCGCGATGCTCATCCTGCGCACCGCGTGGCTTGCGCAGAATGCCCGTATCTGGGCTGACCAGGCTGCCGTCGCGCCCGACGCCGGGTTGACGGCGGAGGAGCTGACGGATCTCGCCGAGGGGCCGTCCCTGGAGCGCTGGGAGCTCTTCGAGGACGCGCTGGTCGGCTTCGCCGATCAGCTCTTCCGCAACTCGTCGGTCACCGACGACACCTGGGCGGCGCTGGACGAACGCTA